CTAAGAAAATGCTTTCAAAAGTTGTAAGAAAGTTATCCCAAACAAAATCTTAGACAACTAGTTAAGCGTGCATAATTGAAAGGCTGCATTAGAATATTAATAATTTTTCAACAAATATTTTAAAAGAATACTTTTTTTTTAATAATGAATTTAATTTATAATATGAACATAAGCCAAAGTATTAGCTGGAAATTTATTATAATTTTATAAAAACAAATTAGAAAAAAGATTTGCACTTAGTCAAAAGATTAATTATTATAATACCTGATTATTAATTAAATGTTTATTAAATTTACCCAAAAAAATTGTTTATAAAGTATTTGGAAGGGCCTGCTTAATCAAGTTGGAAGATAAGGACAAAAACCAAGATATCCTATCTGGTTTTTATTGACTTAAGTGTTGTTCAATACTCATAGGCAAGTTCCTGGAAACTTCAACCAAATGTAATTTATAGTTAAAACAAAGATTGTTAGCCACTAATGTAGATTTAATTTAATCCCACTATTTGATATTATAATAATTTTAGGGATTTGATTTGAAGTAAAATAAATTTGTGGTATTTAAAATGCACTCACTCAGCTCAAGCGAATTTGGAATACAGTGCCATTGTCAAATGTTAGGAGATCGTTTATGATATGTTCGATCATTTTTTTCTTAAGAAGTGGAGAATAAGTACCAATAAACTTAGTATAAGAGAGGTGTTGACGTCAGATCCAGTAAGTGTCGACAGTGTGCATCGATCTTATTGGCAATAGCATGCATTAAAGTTATGAGCGACAACAATCGAAGAAGTCAACAGGTATCAATCATGGTGTCGATTACGTGCATCAAAATTGTACGTGATGATATTTGTCGACGGCTTGTCTTAATCTTATAAGTGATGGCAGTATCAATAATGTACATTAGACTTTAGGCGGCAATATGCTTCAATATTTTTAGCCAGCATCAGCATTAGTGTCCACAACGTGTGATGACATGATTCAATGTTATTGACAATAAAGTTGATAAAATACAGTATTCATATGTGACAATCATCGAACTATGATGGCCCCCATATTGTGCCAAGAAATGGTGGTAAAAAAATAGATGAGGATCTGGAGATGATGATTGGGTGACTATTAGAGAAATATAATATAATTTAATTTAATTTAAAATAAACTCTGACTATTTATTTTTTGGAAAAAATATAACAACTAATATATCTACTATGAGAGAAATTATTCTGTGCGTAGGCCGAATGCAGCTCTACATTCGGATGCGAATGAAGTGCAATCACGTAAGTGATATCGAACTGTGATACATAACAAAAAAACGACGTAACACATTCTAATTGATCTCCGATAATATTTGACGTCTGCATAGAATAATTAATCATTCCGTTTGGGCACGTAAAGCCAACTTTGCCATGAAAAGAGTTTTTTATGTAAAATATTGTATTTTTGTATTATTCCAACGACGGCAGTCTATAATTAAGCAACCAGTCCTCTCCCTCTACCCCTCGCCCTCTCTCTCTCTCTCTCTCTCTCTCTCTCTCTCTCACGCTCGATCGGCCGTCTAAAGCTAGTCATTGCAGTTCTCGGCGAAGGAATCGGAAATTCGGCCGTCGATCGCCGAAATCCACTACCCCAATTTCTCTCTCCGATCTAACGTGATCGCAATTCAAGTATTAAAAAAAAATCCCTATCTGTCAGCTCGCCTCTGATCTTATCCCTCAATCCCTCCGAAAATGATCCCCAATGTTCATTAACTCTAATCACCAAAGCCCAATGTGCCAACAAATCACCCACAACCAATCCCTTCCTGCGATCGTAAAAGAAAAATCAAAACATAAACCTCGTTTCCCAGAGATCGCCGGCAGGACAACCGCAGAATGCGTTGCGATCTGCTGCTGCTGCCCTTGCAGTATTTTCAGCATCCTCATCCTACTCGCCCTCAGACTTCCGAAGGGTCTCTGTCGCTGGGCGCTTCGCAAGCGGATGCGTCTCCAGCGAGCAGAGAAGCGGGCGGCGCGTATTGGATCCGGTATCCGTGGATCCTCGCATATTTGGTGGTCAACAACGGCAGTTGAAGGGGATTTGGATGAGTTCGCTGGACTGAGTCTGGTGATGTTGGTTGGAAATCGGTGGCCGGAGCGTTCGCCGGCGGCGGATGCTAGGGCTTTGGAGATGGAGGTGTGGTCCGAGTTTACCTGTCGCGGGTTTTGGCGAAGCCAGTCGGGAAGAGAAGAAGATTCGTAACGTCGTCCAAACGGAATTGTAACGGAGTTAGATTGCAATGGACCCCCAAAAACCCCAAAACAAAATAAATTGCCTATTCACTTCATTTTCTTCTTTGAAATATAAAATTGGTAAATTTATATTATTACAAAATGGAAATGCTGAGTCTTAAAATATAAATTTAATTTACTTTTTTAGAAATAATTTAATGTGCCTCATTCTACAACACCAATGCATCATATACGACTAGCAAGCAATGTTGTTGACAATTGTGGTTGACTGGACAGTTCAATTTAGGTCTAATTTGTACCCCTATAAGTTAGGAGTGTCATGGTAGGTCAACAGATCGGGTTCAGGTCCAATTCGAAATTAATCCAATCTAAATCATTGGGGTTGATTAGGGGTGTCAAAAATGACTCAACTTGTCAACTAGGCCTACACAAACTTGGTTTTGGTTGACTTGTCTAATATATGGGCTGGGTTCAGGTAGGGTTCTAATTGATCCATGAACTCAAGTTTGACCCACAATCAGGATTGAGAGAACAATACAGGAAAAAGGAGAGGTTAACGATCTGATAGTTTGATTGATGTCTAACTGAGGTTGATCTGAATGACCTAATAAATATGAAAATAATTTAAATGATAAATATTCTTATACTATTATATATTTGTAATTAAAAATAAATTGAATTTATAAATTAATAATATCTTATGTAATTAAAAATTTAAACATCTTAAATTTTTAAATTTAATTCAAGTTTAATAATTATAATGCTTTTTGAGTTTGCATGAGGTAATAACTTACATGAATTGAGGGAGCCATGTGAAATACTTAGTTGGAATTTCTTTTATTTATTAGTATAAAATTTTTCACAATTAACCTAAAATTCATGACTAAAAAACTAATAAAATGTTTTTTTAATTAAAATGAAATATACTAATAAAAATTATTCTAATAGCTCTCTTACCACAGCTTCGGGTTGATAGCGGGTTGGATTATGGTTCAATTTTTTAACTCATATATTTAACGGGTAATATTCAGGTCAGGTCAATTTCGAATTAGACTCAAACCATACCTATTGATCCACTTTGACACCTTAAAATTGACACTTGAAAGATTGCCAAACCAAACCCACGTGTGGTAACATGGTAAGTGTTTTTAAAGATTTGATGCAAGTTATATGCACTAAAGGGAAAGGCATGAGCTACTGAGATTACAGGTAGGGGTGTCAATAGTTGACACGACCCGAAAATCTGACTCATATCCGACCCGATAATTTCGGGTTAGGTTCAACCCGAATCCGAAATGGGTCGGGTTCGGGTTCAACAATTTGACCAGTTTCAAAAATTGGGTCAAGTTCGGGTTGACTCTTTGACCCAAATTTGAACTGTTTTTTTATCCGAAAACCCATTTTTTGACCTGTCAACTCAAGATTGACCCGTTTTGACAAAAAAATTTGAGATTGATCAATTCTAAAGATTTGATGCAAGTTATATGCACTAAAGGGAAAGGCATGAGCTACTAAGATTATAGGTAGGGGTGTAAATAGTTGACATGACCCGAAAATCTGACTCATACCCGACCCGATAATTTCGGGTTAGGTTCAACCTGACCCGAAATGGGTTGGGTTCGGGTTCAACAATTTGACCAGTTTCAAAAATTGGGTCAAGTTCGGGTTGACTCTTTGACCCAAATTTGAACTGTTTTTTTACCCGAAAACCCATTTTTTGACCTGTCAACTCAAGATTGACCCGTTTTGACAAAAAAATTTGAGATTGATCAATTCTTGGACCAAAAAACTAGTATTTTTTTGTTGGCACTGGGTCATTCGGGTCGTGTCAGGTTTACTCTAACTCGAAGCAGGTCGGGTTCAGGTCCGGAAAACCAACCTGTTTTCAAAGACGGGTCAGTTTCGAGTTCGACTCGAACCAGACCCTTGAACCGAAATTAACACCCCTAATTATAGGGAAGAGGAGAGGGTTAAGAGATGATTGTGGGGTTTTGTAGAAGGATATACAATGAAAGATAAATACTTAAATAGCTTTATCTTTACTCAATTGTCATATCAATATGAGAAATATTTATTTACCTTAAAGAAAAAATAAAAAAAATATCATCAATAAATATTATTGATTATTATAAATTTATAATTATAATAAATATTGTTGATTTCATCCCAAAATTAACGGATATAAAAATTTGAACATAATATTAATAACAAGCAATTATCTAATACGAATATTAATATAAGCGGTAAAACCGTCAAAATTGATCATAATTTTTTTTTTAAGGGTTATGTTGAATATAATTCAAATGTGAACACTTTTGTATTATACTATTAATATTTTTATTTCAAATAACTATTTTTTATATAAAATTTCGGCCTCAAGCCCACGACATTATACATATTAAATAAATAACTAATAATAATAATAATAATAATGTCGTGATCTTGAGGGCAAAGTTCTTTAAAAAAAGTATTAAAAATAATAGTAATTTTATATAAGAGGAGACGAAATAGTTCAAAAACAGGCTATTATTGCGATATTAATAAGGTTAGACAAATAAGAACAAAAACAAAATAAGCTGAAATATTCATATATGATAATATGAGTCGTCTAAAACAAACCACTTATATATTAAGAGGTTTCATGAAAAAAAAAATAAAAGAATATAAATAAATGTTTTAATAAAGTTTGAGTATTTTTTTTAACGCATTTAGGTCAATTAACACAAATTCACACACACATCATAGATACAAATTTCGAATCCAAAATCTATTATTTTGATACTTTTGAATTTAATAGTTTTAATAAAATTCTATATAATCCATTTAGTATTATTTTAGCCATAATGCAAAGTTTTATATTAATTGAGATATAAATTTATCTTTTGTTTTCACTAATAATACAAATAGGTTTTAAATTGCATACAACAATAAGGACAATAAATCTTTATCTCACTATGTGAAGTCTTCTAAATGCGTTACACTTATTTATTATGTTATATTAAGAGTAGAATTCTAATTTAAAACTAATAAAAATAATCTTTTTTAATACTTTCTAACTTTTTTTTTAGAACTATACCCTACAAGATCAACGGAAGGCTGATGTTTTATGTCATTTCTCTCTCTAATTTTTAAATTGCATAAGATATTAAAAAAACATTAAAATACATATAATATAATCACCAAATAAGCAAATAAATAAGTGATATGTTCTATGTATGATACTTACGCTCGAAATTAATTAATTATTCTATGCGTACATCGAACGTAATGAATCATCCGGTTATCTCTGTGAACAGTAAAAGCGCAGATAACTGTGCTTTTACTATTCATGCCTTGCTTTTATTGTTCACATAAACAAAATCGGACAGTTCATCATGTCCGGTGTCCACACATAATAATTTCTCGTCGAAATGGGTGTTAACAGGCCAACAACTGGTACAGTTTTCCATGTTTTAAAATCTACTGAGGTAATAAATGAAAACTCTTAAAAGCCCAAATATAGAAAGCCCATTAGAAGTTGCGTCGTTTATGTTGAAGGAGATGGGCCTCTGCAAAAGCTAATTTTACACGGGCCGGCTAGACCTAAAGTAAGCAATGCTCTTATGCTCCTGGGTAATAGTAAAAGGCAATAGTACTATTCTACAAATATCATTCTTCAATTGAAAGGCAGTGCATCCGTTTTAATTTTACTTACATAGTGGATTGATTGAACTAGACAATGACTCTTATTTTTTCCCCGTTCCATCTTTTACTTATAAAAAATTTTATGTTCATTTCTATAGTTCTTTTGAGCACAAATCTTTGTATAATACAATAAAAATTTTCTCATTATATATTCTTAGTTTTTTAATTTCTCATTTTATATACTAAATTTCTAAGTTAAGTGTTGCAGAGATGAGGATGATTAGGTGAATGAGTAGCTTTACTTTTAAAGATATGATACAAAATGAGAATAAACGTGAAAAGGTTGGAGTATCTACAGTGGAACAGTAGTTCGACAGTAATACTACCCAAACAAAATTGACTGATTTCTATACAACAATTTTAAAAAGCAACTTTATGTACAACAATTTCACAACCGGCTTTACCGACAGCTGCAGCCGTCCCAAACGCACCCTAAATGAGAATAAACGTGAAAGGTTGGAGTAGCTACCGTGTAAGATAAGATTAGAGAGAGAGTCGCCTTAGATGGTTTGGTCACATAAAACGGAGGCCTTTCGATGACCCGATTGAGAAAGTTGAGGTATTAGATTTGATTTATGTTAAGAAATGTAGAGATAGACCGAAAAAGAATTGGTTATAAAATATTAGAAAATATTTTTTTTTATTAGATTTAAATGACAATTTAGCTTTTAACAGGACACGATGATGAAAAATGATTCATGTAGCCTACCCATATAGTGGGACAAAGGCTTGATGTTGCTGTTATTGGTCTTATATGACTCGATCTCTAATATATTTTGATTCAGGATAAAATTAAGATTTTATTTGAGACAACTTTCTTATTACTTTCTTAAGAAACTTTTTAGTATAAACATATCTTGAATTAACAATTTTCATACCAAAAATTAATTTTAAAAAAATAAATAAAAAGTTTTTTCAACCCAAACTTAAATTATGAACAATCAAGCAGCTACCATTGAAGAAATATAGCCAAAAAGTATCACTCACAATTTCCTGCATAAAAGTACAAGAAAAGTTAAATTGGGCCATAAATTCTTCTTTTGCAACTTTCGGCGAGCCCATAAAGAACCTCCAAACCATCAACTGTAATGGGCCTTCTTTCAACAACTTACTTCCAAGTACTCAATCATGATTTAGGAGATTAAAATCAATAAAAAAAATCGTATTTTAGAAAAAGAAGGGATATTTACTATAGTTAATATTAATTTTAAATTTAATAACTTTTCTTCAAGTTCACATTTAAAAAATGTTTTATTTTCACATTTAAAATAATAAAAAATAAAAAATGAAATTTTCATATTATATATATAAAGCTTATTTACAAGC